TACTTAGTTAACTTTTATCTTATTTATGTTCTTATTTTGTTTATTTATTTTTCTTTCTTTCATTATGTCTAGCTAAGTTTATTATGTCAAGGTGAAAAGGTTACACTAATGGTGTAAGAATAAGTACAGTGTAAACTTAATATGGACTTTAATGTTTGATACTAACATGTTTTGTATTTGTTATCTTGTTCACTCTTTAATACTTTCCTTGTTAAATGACTAATCTTGATTTATGTTGTATAACACTTGATACAACAAATACTTGGCACTCTCATAACCCATACTGTATGGTATAATCGACACCTGAGTTATGAAAGGAACTTGATTTGTTGTTAACATAAGTTATAATCATGAATGCTTGACGAGATTTACAAGTATTAGCATTAATCGAATAAGATGACTAATGTAATCATGTTAACAATATATAATATGATTGGAACCTCCTTTGTATGTGGTTTCCAATTGAATAATAAGAGTTTATACTATACTTGTTTGACATACCATTAGTGGAACCTCTAACCTTGACATTTGTTATTATTATTGTTTAATCCTTACATTAATTTTCCATCTCTAAGTTCTCATCATCATCTTCTTCTTCTCTTTCTTTACTATTATTATTATTATTACTATTATTACTATTGTTGTTGTTGTTATTGTTGTTTTATAATTGTCTTCTTCTTCTCCTTCTTTATTATTGTTATTATTATTATTAATACTACTACTACTACTACTATTATTATTAGTATTATTAGTATTACTATTGTTATTATTAAAATTATTCCCAATAATGTTTTGGATATTCATCCTTTAAGGATTTTTTTTTATCCAAATATTAACGGTGAATAATAGATGAACTCCCCCCAAAATAATATTTTTATATTTTTTTGAATATTGGCCAATACCCTTTGGAGTTTTACAAACATGTTGTAAAATCCAGAAATGCAAGAAATTAATTTTTTTGTGTTTAAGAAATCCATGCGAAAACACATTTTCAAAACTTCCAATATTTTTTCTAAAAAAAAAATTCAAAAAAACATGTTAGGGTATTGGCCGTATGCAATAAACAACAAAATTGTTTTTTATCAAAACATAAACATCACAGTTAATCACAATTAAAGACCACAAACCGTGTGCGTGTGTGTGTATATATATATTCTCAAAATTCTGCAAAAAAAATGAATAAAATATAACAAAACAAATATGGTCCCTCAAAACTAAAATTCGGTTCATTCTTAAAACCAAAAAATTAAATTTTGTTACTGTTCAAGTGAATTATAATTCACTTGAATAGTAACACAAATGCTGTCATTTAACAAAAAATAACGCCTCCCCTTTAGAATCTGCCCAAAACCTTACTGCAATTGCAGAAGGTTTCCCCGCCAATTTCAATTTCCTTCCCCGGCCTATAGATACCCCATCCCAGATTATGAAGCAGAAAAGGAAAACATTTGAACTAAAGAGGGGATTGATGACAACCCCCCCTCTCCCGGTTCCTTATGGGCTAAATGAAACAAGGAACCTGCAATTCTAATATATATATATAAAAAAATAACTCACAGCCACGGGAAGAAACAAAAGCTGGAATTCATTGTATGGCAAAAGGGAAATAGAAAATGAAAGTGAAAAGCCAAAAGATAAAACAGTTTTTTTTTTAAAACATCAAAACAAAACCTGCAGGTTTTTGCTGAAATGGTTTAGCATGCTTCCTTGAATACTGTCGCCTGCCTCTCTTGCGTGTTCCTTCAAACTGCAGCTCCTGTTTGCAGAAAATAAAAAACCAAAGCCGAAAGACAGCTCACACGTACCTCCTTGGCTGCTGGTAAATGACAGACAAAAATAGAGATGTTGAAACGGACGAAATAATTGGTTTCCCCGTCGCCTGTCTCTCCTTTCTCCTCTCTTTTGTTTCTTTCACAATGACGAAAGGATGTATAAGAACCAAAGGCTCTATGGATCAAAGAACGAAAACCCTCTGCTCCCCTGTTACCTGCGTTTTTTACTAACTCCCTCCCTCTCGTTTTCTTTTCTTTTTTTCTTTCTTTTGCTGTGTTTGTTTTTCTTTCTTTTCTCTCCGTTTTTTATTTTTTCTGCTCTCCTTTTGCTGCTCTTATTCCTCTATTTTCTCCTCTCTTTCTTCTCTCTTTTCGTCTCCTTTTTGCTCTCTTTCTCCTTTTTTACCCTAGGTCATTAGAGGGGCTTATATATAGTCTAACCTATATCTATTTAGGAAGGATTCAATGCATTAATCCTAGAAGCAAATCCCTACTGATTTGCAGTAAGAAAAAATGCAAAAGGACACTGCAAATTCTAATTTTATGGTGGTGCTTTATGTCTGATTTCTTTCCAGTTTTGGAGGATGGTGTGGTTCTTTTATTTCCTTCCATAGAGCCAGCTGCTACCTTTGAAATGAGGCAACAAAAACATGGTATACAGCTCCAATAATCAGACATGATGAGAAAGGAAAACAGCAGAGAAAAAGGGAAAGAAATCAGATGGAGGGTGCAGCTGCAAAGTCTTATCTTCCTTATTCGGTGTGGTAAAAATCTTTTCATTTATGATGATCCAGCCCCCCTCTCCAGCTTTCCATATCCTTCTTCAATTAAATCCCTCATTTTAACACTTTTCGATTCAGTCCTTCGTCCAGAAAAAAATCCTTCAAATCAGTCCCGCGAACTTGGGCTATATCCTTCTCACGGCAGAATTCTCTGCCTTCACGTTGGATATTCAAACAGGAATATCTTGACCTTCTAATATCAAAATCAAGCGATTCAAAAGTCCAAAATCATCTACGCATCTAGGACTACAACTTTGATGGGGAGTCGAAGTGAGAAAAGATCATTTTATAAAACAGAAACTGACAGTAATCTAGTTGGTCAAAAGGAATTTCCTGATCTGATTCAAAAACTAACAAATGTCGAGCATCCCGATATGACTGGGAGTGCCCTAAGAATGAACCAAAAAAAATCGTGATGGCACCAAAATTTTTTCGGTGCAAAACTTGGGTAAGAATCTTGCTCGCGACAGAATTCTCTATTTTCACGTCAGATATTTAAATGTGCAGAGCTTGAGCTTCTGATATCGAAATCGAGTGATTCAAAAACCAAAATCCATCTATATGTGTAGAATTAAAACTTTGATAGGGATTTAAGGCGAGATATAATCATTTTATAGGATAGAATCGGGCCGTGATCTCGTTGGTCAAAAAGGATCTCCTGATCTGATTCAAAAACTGACAAATGCCAAGCATCCTGATATGACTGGGAGTACCCTAAGAATGCAACAGAAAAATTGTGATGGCAATAGAATTTTTTTGGTGCAAAACTTGGTTCAGCATCCTGCTCGCGGCAGAATTCTCTATTTTCACGTCAGATATTTAAACGTGCAGAGCTTGAGCTTCTGATATCAAAATCCATTGATTCGAAAGCCAAAATCCATCTATATGTGTAGAATTAAAACTTTGATAGGGATTTAAGGCGAGATATAATCATTTTATAGGACAGAATCGGGCCGTGATCTCGTTAGTTAAAAAGGATCTCCTGATCTGATTCAAAAATTGACAAATGCCAAGCATCCTGATATGACTGGGAGTACCCTAAGAATGCAACAGAAAAACCGTGATGGCAATAGAATTTTTTCGGTGCAAAACTTGGGTCAGTATCCTGCTCGCGGCAGAATTCTCTATTTTCACGTCAGATATTTAAACGTGCAGAGCTTGAGCTTCTGATATCGAAATCCATTGATTCGAAAGCCCAAATTCATATATGCATTTAGGAATATGGATTTCAAGGGGATTCAAGGCGAGATATAATTGTTTTACATGACAGAATGAGGCCACAATCTGGTTGGTCAAAAAAAGGGTCTCCCGATCTAAATTCAGGAAACTAACAATGCCAAGCATCCTTGACTGAGAGCCTGCCATAAGAACAATGAGCCCTAGGACCCAATAAAGGTGTAGTTCCATTCTTCAACATGTCATGAGTGATAGAATATAATTGGGATGGTCAGATATTGCACGAACCCAAGTCAGAATCAGGGTCTAAGTTGGAACAAAAAAATTACGGCAGTAGTAGAACTAGGTTTTCTAGTGCCACTTTCAAGGGATTTATTTAAACCTTACAGCCCATGTAAAAGAGGAATAAATTTAGCATTATAAAGAATCCTGATTAGCCTAAGAATCCTAACAATTTTGGTAGCCGTGGGGAAGGATAAAGAGAGCAGGAGATGGCTGAAACAGGGTTCAAAAAAAATCTTTCTTTCTCCTCCGCTTTTGTCAATTTTCTAGCAAACATGAGCTACACTCCTACACTTGGTTCAAAACGGTATACACCATCTCTAACACGTGGGGTCCAAAATTGAGTAACACCAACATTAATATTCCATCTCAAAGTTCTCATCTTCTTCTTCTTCTTCTCCTTCTTTATTATTGTTATTATTATTATTAATACTACTACTACTACTACTACTATTATTATTATTATTATTATTATTATTGTTACTACTATTATTGTTGTTGTTGTTGTTACTATTATTGTTGTTTATAATTTTTGTTTATAATTTGTACAATTAACCTCTTTGTGGTTCGACCCCCGTCTTGCCGGGTTATTTATTACTCCAACCCTCCTGCATTTGGAAGAAGACATCAATCTTTTAGTCGTGTCAAGTTTTTGGCGCTATTGCTGGGGAGGTAAGTTCTTGTATAAATTATAGTTTTTATTTTATTTTCTCTTTTTACTTTTCTTGTATATAACTTTGTCTCTTTTGTTTTGTTTCTCCTTATTTTGTTTTTTTCCTTCTTCTTTTGTTTTCTTCTTCATTTTATTATATTCCTACACGTGCATGAGATTGTGGTCACGTACATCAAGTGGTAGAATTTCTAGGGTATCCTCATCATTTTCAGAAAATATGGCCAAAGAAGATAATCAATCACTTCATAATGAGAATAACCATGCTAGAACACTTAGAGACCACATGAATCCCACAAGAACAAGTGCACCATCATGCATAGTTTTTCCTCCTGATGCATCTCATTTTAATTTTAAACCAGGCATTATTCAACTTTTACCTTCTTTTCATGACTTAGAATTGGAAAATCCATACTTGCATTTAAGGGAATTTGAGGAGGTATGTAACACCTATAATAACTCAAATTGTAGCATGAACACCATTAGATTAAAGCTTTTTCCTTTTTCATTAAAAGATAAAGCTAAAACATGGCTACAAAATTTGAGACCAGGATCCATTCGTGCTTAGGATGAAATGCAACAACAATTTTTAAAGAAGTTTTTCCCATCTCACAGAATAAACTTTTTCAAAAGACAAATCATTATTTTTACTAAAAAACAAGAAGAAATGTTTTACCAATGTTGGGATAGGTATCGAGACTTGTTTAATACTTGCCCTCATCATGGTTTTGAAGCATGGAGATTGGTTTCACATTTTTATGAAGGGTTAACACCTAGAGATAGACAAATGGTTGAATTGATGTGCAATGGAACTTTTAAAGATAAAGACCCTAATGAAGCAATGAAATACTTAGACTTGTTAGCTAAAAATACTCAAAATTGGGACACCGAGGGAACTTATGAGGCACCGAGTAAAACTCAACCTCATACATCTAGTGGAGGTATGTACAACCTTAGAGAAGATCATGACCTCCAAGCCAAGTTTGTATCTTTAGCTAGAAAAGTCGAGGCATTGGAATTAAAAAAGAGTGGTCAATTAAAATCTGTTGAAAACATTACGTGTCAAATATGTGAAACAAATGAACACTCAACCAATGATTGTCTAACCTTGCCTTCTTTCAAGGAATGTCTCCATGAATAAGCCCATGCTTTAAATAGTTTCCAAAAGCCTAATCATAACCCATACTCGCATACATACAACCCTGGTTGGAGAAATCACCAAAATTTCAGTTGGAAGAGTGATAATGCACAAACTTTATAACCATAGTTTCAAGCACACCATAATTTCCAAAATGATCATGCATATGCACCTCCTTATGCTCCACCTCCTACAAGAAATTTTGAGGAAACCTTGTATGCATTCATTGAAAAGCAAAAGACAATCAACACTTAACTTGCTCAAAGCATAACAAATTTTAAAGATACTCTTGCAAAATTCACATCTACTCTCAATTTTCAAGAGAAAGGCAAGTTTCCATCTTAACCACAGCAAAATCCTAAGAGGCAATACAATGCAAATGCAAATAGTTTCGAAAGTTAACACATGGATCAAGTCAAATCAGTCACTACTCTTTGCAGTGGTAAGGTTATTAAAAAACCCACTCTTGAACCTTATGAGAAAGATGATGAGTTAATCTTTGAGGGTAAGGAAGGGGTTGAATTTGAAAATCGCAAAGAAAAGACTAATTCTGCGCCAGCACTTCTATTTCCTCAAGCCATGACCAAACAAAGGAAAGTCAATCACAACTCTGAAATCTTTGAAACTTTCAAACAGGTAAGAATCAATATACCTTTGTTGGATGCTATTAAACAGGTTCCTTCCTATGCTAAATTTTTGAAAAATCTATGCACTGTGAAGAGAAAACTGAATGTGAAAAAGAAAGCCTTTTTAGCCGAACAAGTGAGTGCTATTTTTCAGAACAATAATGCTTTGAAATATAAAGACCCTGGTTGTCCTACAATTTCTTGCTTTATTGGAGAGCATAAAATTGAAAGAGCCTTACTTGATCTTGGTGCTAGTGTGAATTTACTTTCATATTCAGTTTTTCAGAGTCTCAATCTAGGTGAGTTAAAACCAACTTCTATAACTCTTTTACTTGCCGATAGATCTATAAAAGTGCCTAGAGGAATAGTCGAAGATGTGTTAGTACAAGTCGATAAATTCATTTATCCTGTGGATTTTGTTGTCTTGGACACAAAACCTGTTGAAGCATGTAATTCATTTCCTGTTATTTTAGGACATCCATTTCTTGCAACTTCTAACGTATTGATTAATTGTAGGAATGGACTAATGAAGCTATCATTTGAAAACATGACATTGGAGATGAATATTTTCAACATTTGCAAGCAACCTAGAGATGATAATGATTTACAAGAAGTAGATCATATTGATGAATTAGTTTATGATCAACTTGAATCTACTTTAAGTAAAAATGAGTTAGATGAATCTGAAGATTTACAAATGATTTATTCTAAGAAAGAAATCACATATGAAAAATGCACTGAAAATGTTGATGGGGATCTTCTGTCAAAAGTGACAACAAAGTCAACATCTAACATCACACCAATAGATGATTACTTTCCTAATGAATCCTTAATTTCTCTTAATCCAATGCCTTGGTATGATAAATATATCAACTTTCTTGCTTTAGGAGATTTGCTAGCTGATTGGAGTGCCCAAGACAAAGAAAAGTTTTTGAACGAAATGAAGACCTTTTATTGGGATGACCCTAACTTATTCAACTATTGTCCTAATCAAATATTTCAAAGACGCATTCCTGACAGTGAGGTAAGTAGTGTATTAAATTTTATCATTCTGAAGCATGTGGAAGTTATTTCTCGTAAAAAAAGACAGCTGCAAAAATCTTTCAAAATGGATTTTATTGGCCCACTATGTTCAAGGACACGCATGCATTCTGCAAAACTTGTGAAAGTTGATACTGATCAAAAAGTTTTATTTTATAATTCTCAACTATATTCATTCTCTGGAGAGCTAAGATCAAGATGGAGCAATCCTTATGGGGCCTGTGATATTGAGAATTCAATAAATGACAATGTTTTTAAGGAAAATGGACATCGTTTGAAAGCTTACTTTGATAATTTTCCTAGTGAAAATAAATCAACTGGTTTGAATGATCTTGTAGATAAAGGTTAATTATTTTGTTTTTCTCACTTTGTTTTTGTGTATCTTTTTTAGTGATAGTTTTTCTCACCCCGGTCAAATGGTGGATAACGGTACTCCGTGACTTAAGTCGGTTCTTTCAGTTTCCCATGATAACTGATATCTGTGTATATATTTGTTCAATTATTTCTTCCTTCTCTTCTCTTTGCATCTCTTTTCCACTTCTCATCTTAAAAAAATGGACACCACTCTTGAAAAATTGAAAAAGTATTTTCCCGCTCTACCTCATAATATGATTACAAAAATTTACCGTGCTAGATGTGCAAGATTGAGATTGTTAATGAATCATGGAATTCCTGAAGATATTCGCTGGTTGATTGAAGCAAAGGTCCGATTATCAGGTGAGTCCTCTAACTCCTTCATTTCACACATGCCTGGAATAGGTAAAAGCACTTTTGCAAAGAAACATCGTGCAAAACGACTGAAAGTCTGTCATCGATGTGCTAGATGGACTTGTAATACACAATGTCGTTCTTTAGGAATGATATCTATAAACCGTGAAGATAAAATACAATTCATTAAGGATGGCCTGAGTAAAGGGTTTTTAGATAATATTCTATTGACTCTTGAGACGCATCCTAGTGGAGATGTGCATCGTGCAATTCATGATTTATGGCCAATATTTCATAAGAAACATGCTCAACATAGTCTTGGGAATCTGACTAAAAAATACCCCATTTGCCAGGTTTTAAGAAAATTGGATGGGAAGCCTATCCCTAACCAATAGAGGGCGTTTAAGCCATTCTTGAATGTAAAACCAAGGGAAGATGTGAGCCACAATCACAACTACTTGTACATACACATGCTTTTTCAATAGTAAATAAATAAATAAAGAGAGAGAGAGTGTGTGAGACTCTAGTTGGCCTACATATAGGTGGTATGATTGCCTTTCTAATTTCTCATCTATAAAATCCTCTCTTCGTTCCTTTTATTTCTACTCAACCCATACATTCAACAAATATAAAAGTGTGTAGAAATGGCAAGCTCCTCAGGTCATCAGATAAGAAATATTTGTGTTTTTGGTGGATCTAGTCCTAGGAAAGAAAAGAAGTTTTTAGAATCAGCAAATCATCTTGGTCACGTGCTAGCTGAGAGAAAGATTCATTTAGTGTGTGGGGGAGGCAGTCTGGGGTTAATGGGAAGTGTGTCAATAGCTGTATTTTTAGGAGGTAGTCAAGTTTTAAAGGTCACCCCGAAGTTTTGGCACAAGGGGATATCATTGGAAAAACAATTGGAGAAGAACTTCAGGTCTCCACAATGTCAGCTCGAATGAATGCAATGTTTAACCATGCTGATGTCTTTATTGCCTTACCAAGTGGTCTAGGCACATTCGACGAGATCTTTCATATTTCTTCTTGGGCCTAACTGCACATTCACCATAAACTCATAGATTTGTTAAATGTTAATGGTTATTATGATAAGTTGTTATCTTTTCTTGATCATATTGTGGAATAGGAATTTCTAACATCTTTTGCACGACAAATCATAATCTCTGCTGCTACTACTGAACAATTGATTGACCAACTACAATCTTTCATTCCTGTAATTGATCCCTCTATGAGTCGCATAAATTGGTCATCTAAGAAAAGCTATAAAAAGCTTAGATTGGGTTTGAGTCTTCATTTGTGAATCTTTTTGTTTTATTATTATGTTTTGTTATTTCTTATTTTTGTTTAAGTGTATTTCAGGTTTGTCAGTGTTCGTTATTTCAGGTGATATCTTCTATACTCTATCTTTCTACTTTTAAACATTAAGGACAATGTCTTGTTTTAGTTGGGGGGGAGAGGGTAGTAGCTAAAAAAAAATTTCTTTTCTATTTTATAAAGCATGTGCAAAATTGTTGTTACTATGATGGCAGAGTAAGGAGAATTTTTATGACTCTTGAGACACATCTTAGTAATCATTCGTAACAAGGTCTATCATAATACTTCTTGAAATATTCAGATTTACAAACTCTCGCATTGTTATCACTTAATTCAGCTCATATACTTATTTAACATGTATTCTTAAACCTTAATTTTCAGACACACACTTTAACATATGATTGTGGATTACATATTGGATTATTACATTATTTATGTTTTTTTGTTAAACGTAACAACTAAGGGAAAAGGGATAGCATATAATTTAAAAAAAAAAAAGACAAAAAAAATGATAATAATAAAAATGTAGATAAGTTTGGTTTCGTAGCCTCCCTAACCTAAGCAATTAAGCTCAAAGGGTGTTTTAACACCTAATACCCTAAAGTCAACTGACTTGGGAGCTATTGGCCCAACGCTTGTACATGGTTTGAGAAGAAAAGCTTAAGGGAATCAAACATTGCACTATCTACATATCAGTATCTGCGACCCGAGTTACTAAACTCGTAGGAGTGTCTCAACACCTAATGCCCTAAGACCAACTGGTCTAGGAGTCATTAGCCGAAAACTCGTTACATGGGTTAAAGATGCATGGTGTTTTAAGTTATATGTATATATATTAAATAATAATAATAATAATAATAATAATAATAATAATCCCAACCCAAGGAAGTTAACCTTAAACATTAGAACAAAAATTTTATTTTCTTCCAAGAAAAGCCCCATATTTATGTGTTGATATATTGAGCATAAAAGAAAGGTTTATTAATATCTTGTTAAGAGGTATTGAGCAGATATATAAATTTAATAAGAGTTTGTTTATCTGAATAGATTAATGGAAGTTAAATGATGAATACCTTGTTTTGTGAAATTTGCAAATTGTTTTTCTATTTTAACGCTTTGATTACTAGGGACTAGTAATAAGCTGGTTGGGGGGTGTGATTAGTACTTAAAAGTGTATTTTTATCAAGGTTTTATATCATCATTTTGCACTTGAAGTATCAATAACTCCTTAACTAAAACATGTTTTATAATAATATATCTAATAATATAAAATACCTTTAATTTGTGGTAAATGTTTATTTTTAATACAGACCTATCACATAAATGAAAGGATTGATTGATGAATTTAAGAACTGAAATTGAAAGGATAAAGAAATGACCAAACTTAGAAAAGAGATGTCGGTGCAATCCAAACCAGAACACTATTCAGTAATTGGGCCATATCTGGAGTTATAGATCTCAGATTTAGGTCTACTTTATATGTATGTAAAGGTAAGACAAAGGTCTACAATTTCAGATGGAGCCCAAGATCTAAAAAGGCCATTTTCAAGTCCAAATTGTAGCAACAACAAAGAAGCCTGAATCTGTCCTTCAGCTAGAACACTGTTCAGTATTTTGGCTATATCTGGAGTTCTAAAAGTCCAAATGAGCTGAATGTTTTACACAAGATAGCTGAGACAATTTCCTACAACTTTCATGTACAAGTGGTTCCAATTTTGATGTTATCAATGATGTTTGGGGCAGACAAGAGAAGATAAGGATTGTCACCTAGTCAAGAGTTGGTCACCCACTCATCAATAAGTCATCAAATCTATAGTTCCTAATTTTGACCTATAAAAGGAGGCATTTGCTATGCATTTAGGCAACTTGGTTTCCAGATCAAGATCATGCTCTTCCTTTTTCTCTTTGTATTTTTGTAATGTTTATGCTTTGCTTTCATTAATATCAAGTTTATGCCTTTCATTTCCTTTCATTTACTTAGTTAACTTTTATCTTATTTATGTTCTTATTTTATTTATTTATTTTTCGTTCTTTCATTATATCTAGCTAAGTTTATTATGTCAAGGTGAAAAGGTTACACTAATGGTGTAAGAATAAGTATAGTGTAAACTTAATATGGACTTTAATGTTTGATACTAACATGTTTTGTATTTGTTATCTTGTTCACTCTTTAATACTTTACTTGTTAAATAACTAATCTTGATTTATGTTGTATAACACTTGGTACAACAAATACTTGGCACTTTCATAGCCCATACTATATGGTATAATCGACACCTCAGCTATGAAAGGAACTTGATTTGTTGTTAACATAAGTTATAATCATGAATGCTTGACGAGATTTACAAGTATTAGCATTAATCAAATAAGATGACTAATGTAATCATGTTAACAATCTATAATCTGAATGGAACCTCCTTTGTGTGTGGTTTCCAATTAAATAATAAGAGTTTATACTATACTTGTTTGACATACCATCAGTGGAACCTCTAACCTTGACATTTGTTATTATCATTATTTAATCATTACATTAATATTCCATCTCAAAGTTCTCATCATCATCATCTTCTTCTTCTTCTCCTTCTTTATTATTATTATTATTATTATTATTGCTACTAATATTATTATTGTTGTTGTTGTTACTGTTATTGTTGTTTATAATTTTTACAATTAACCTCCTTGTGGTTCGACCCCGGTCTTGCCGAGTTATTTATTACTTCAACACTCCTGCACTTCGGAGAAGACATCAATCTTTTAGTCATGTCACAGGTACTTAAAATTATGCTTTTAGAGTTACTTATAATTTGATTCTTATGTTTAATGAAATAATTAGTTTTTTTTTCCTGTGGTAGTCACCACATGCTTTAATTACTAGATTGAGCATCTTTTTCTGGATGTGGTCTCTATACAATAACGGGATGCCTCCTTCTCTTGATTATTGACAAGAAAAAGAAAATGGAAGATTTTTAGTTATGGTGTGCAAAAGTAATTCATTAGTATTGATTAATATTTTTCGAGACTTTTATCAAAAAAATCAAAATTTATTTTCCTCCGAGTCACCTTCGAATGGTTGGCTACTCTTGTTGCTTTAGCCATTGATTTTTCTTTGGTATTTTTACATGATTTCATGTTTAAAATAATTTACAATACTTCAATTAAGTTAATTTCAATAATTTTTTACAATTCCCTTAAATTTCACTCAAGAGTCCTAATTTTCAATCCTAATCGAATTTAAATTGGTCTTCACAATTACGATAAAGGCTCCTTACCTAGAGGTAACTTGGATTTCAATTCTTAATTGGTTGAAAGTTTTCAACTTCTCCCTCCTTGCATACAGGAGACCCTCTCCCTCTCTCTCCCTTGTAATGTCTTCACTTGTTTTCTTGCTAATTCCCTTGACAAAGGATGTTTTCTTTACTTAACAATCTAAAACTTGTATAAACTTAATAATTTTGGTGTTTTCTCTCAATTTTTTGTGGAAAAATCTGAAATCCTTCCCCTCCTATTTCTCTCCATGTTACCGGCCTCTTGGGGAAGAGAATGGGGTATTTGTAGTCTTAATTTTTTTTTTATTATAGTTTGCTCCCATTCTTTTTTTTTCCTTTTCTTTTTCTTTTTTTTTTCAATTTGAGTTGTACTTCTTTTTATCTTTTAAAATCTCCCCCTTAACAACTAAATTTATTTGGTTTTTCATATATTTAACCTCACATTCTTCATCATGACATTAATTTAAAGTTTTTTTTGTAGAAGTTTATTCTCAGGGCTTACATATTCTCCTTGAAATTTAAGTTACATATTTGCATTGGAGAATAGATGTGGATATTTCTCCTTAATTTTGGTTTCCCTCTCTCATGTCTCTTCTTCTATCTAAGAGTCCCTCCATAATACTCTTGAAGAAAACTCTTTTATTTCTTAACACTTTTTTTGTCTCAATCCATAATTTTGACTAGTTTTGTATCTAATATCAAATGCTTTGTTACTTTAATAGGAACCAGTAGTAACACTTGTGAGAGATTTATCTTTAATTTTTGCAATAAAGACATAAAATACATTGTGAATCTTATTCAAATGTATAGGTAGCTCCATTCAATAAGCAACTAGTCCTATTCCTTCTATAATTCTTATCATAACCCAATTTTGGGTTATTCCCCTAAAATCATCTTTTTTCAAAATAAAAATCAAAAAATAAAATAAAGGCTGACAACATGGAGAAAGCATAGTGGGAAATCAAGCTGCAATTTTTAAAGGAAAATTAAGGCCTAATTATACTCCATTGTGCTCAAAAATAGAGAAACAAAATGCAAATTCAAGGTCAAATTAAATGATAATTGGATAAATTTGCATAAAAATTAAGTCCAAGGACATAATTAAATTTTTAATGGGCCAATTTGATTTAATCATGGGTCAAATTGAATTTTAATTATGTTTAAGAATTAATTTGGGTCCAATTGAAGGATTTAATTAAGTGCAAGTGCTTAATTATACTTTAAATGGGTCAAATTAATTTTATTTAGGGATTAATTGGTGAAAAATTAAGTTTGGGAGTCTAATTTGGGCTTAATTGAGAAGATTGAAATTTTAAGAGATCAAATTTAATTTTTACCAAGTTATTTGATTGAAATCAGGGGCAAAATTGTAAAAAAATTAAAGTTTAATGGTCAATTAGGGGTTAAATTGAAGAAATCCGAGACCATGGACTATATTGCAAAAGGCGTGTAAATCCAGGGCTCAAACAATAATTCATCAGGGGCTTAATTGCAAAAGTTTAGGGTTAATTAGGGGTTCAATTGAAATCAATTAAAAGAGGAAGAACTGAAATGAACTTTGGCAAAAAAAAAGTTTGGTACTATTCATCTTCTTCTTTAATTCTCTAAAACAGCAGGTCCAGTTACTTGCTTTGCAACTGCATTTAATGTACCTAATGTTCACCAAATTTGTCAAAACTTACACGAAACTGATCACCAGAAATCCCTCTATATTTGTGTATGGTCTTCACCAGCTCACTGTCAAATAAACGGACATGGCACCACCCCAAAGAGACCAACTCAGATAGCCTGCAACTGCAGATTTGACAATTTGATAGTGCACCATGCCTAATTTAAGCCAACGGTTGGGATTCTTTTCATTTGAATCGAGAGCTGAAATTTTTATCTAGTATAGGGAAGATTGCCCTCTTCCACCACCTATATATAGAGGTGGATTTGATGGCATGAGGGAGGAGAAAATCGGGGTGAAAGTCAGCCAAAAAACCATCCATTTTCCCTTGTTTCTGTAATTTTCTCTCTTTCCTCTCCGATTCTCTCCACCATGGCCTTCAGCCACCATCACCCTCATCGCTAGTATTCCCACCATTAGCTCCACCACAGAAAGCCAACACAACCACCAACTAACCACCAAGAGCCACCATCAGTTTCTCTCTTTTTTTTGCAGCCCCTCCCACACGTTTTCTCTTCTTCTGCTTCCTCCGTTGCCAGCCACCATCTCTGTCATAGCTCAGCCACCGTTTCAACCACCAACCGGCCACCAAGTAGCCATCGTAACTCTCTCCCTCTTCTCCTTCCAACGTTTCTCTCTCCTTTGCAACTTTTTCTTCTTCCTCCTTGATTAATACTTAAAAGTGCATTTTCTATCAAGATTTTATATCATCATTTTGCACTTGAAGTATCAAGAACTCCTTAATTAAAGTAACATTACGAAAAGATTGATGTCTTCTCCTAAGTGTAGGAGTGTTGAAGTAATAAATAACCCAGCAAGACCGGATTGGAACCACAAGGAGGTTAATTATACAAATTATAAATAACAATAACACAACAACAATAACAATAACAACGACAATAATAATAATAATAATAGTGGTGGTGGTGGTGGTGGTGGTGGTGGTAGTAGTAGTAGTAGTAGTAGTAATAATAATAATAAAAAAAAAAGAAAAAGAAGAAGAAGAAGAAGATGAAGATGAGAACTTTGAGAAGGAATATTAATGTAACGATTAAACAATGATAATAACAAATATCAAGGTTAGAGATTCCACTAATGGTATGTCAAACAAGTATAATATAAACTCTTATTATTCAATTGGAAACCACACACAAAGGAGGTTCCAATCATATTATAGATTGTTAACATGATTACATTAGTCATCTTATTTAATTAATGCTAATACTTGTAAATTTCATCAAGCATTCATGATTATAACTTATGTTAACAACAAATCAAGTTCCTTTCATAGCTCAGGTGTCGGTTATACCATACAGTATGAACTATGAAAGTGCCAAGCATTTGTTGTACCAAGTGTTATACAATATAAATCAAGATTAATCATTTAACAAGTAAAGTATTAAAGAGTGAACAAGATAACAAATATAAAACATGTTAGTATCAAACATTAAAGTCTATATTAAGTTTATATTATACTTATTCTTACACCATTAGTGTAACCTTTTCACCTTGACATAATTAACTTAGCTAGACATAATGAATGAAAGAAAAATAGATAAACAAAATAAGAACATAAAAGTTAACTAAGTAAAGGAAAGGAAATAAAAGGCATAAGCTTGATATTAATGAAAGCAAAGCATAAACATTACAAAAAATACATTCAGCTCATTTGGACTTCTAGAACTCCATATATGGCCAAAATACTAAACAGTGCTTGGGCTGGAAAACAAATTCAGGCTTCTTTGTTGTTTCTACAATTTCGACTTGTAAATGGCCTTTTTAGATCTTGGGCTCCATATAAAAGTTGTAGGCCTATGTCTTACCTTTCCATCCATATAAATTGAACCTAAATCTGAGATTTATAGCTCTAGATATGACCCAATTACCGAACAGTATTCCGGTTTGGATTGCACTGACATCTCTTTTTTAAGTTTGGTCATCTCTTTATCCTTACAATTTAAGTTCTTATAGTCATCAATCAATCCTTTTATTTATGTGATAGGCTTGCATTTAAAATGAACATTTACCACAAATTAAAGGTATCTTATATTATTAGATATATTATTATAAAACATGCTTTAGTTAAGGAGTTATTGATACTTCAAGTGCAAAATGATGATATAAAACCATGATAAAAATGCACTTTTAAGTACTAATCATAAAGCATGTTTTATAATAACATATCTAATAATATATGATACCTTTAATTTATTGTAAATATTTATTTTAAATGTAGGCCTATCACATATGTCATAACCCAATTCTGGGTTATTTCCTAAAATTCACTTTTTTTCAAAATAAAAATAAAATAAATAAAATAAAGGTTGGCAATGTGGAGAAAGCTGACCTAGAAATACTACAAAAATAGGCAAAAATCAAGCTGTAATTTTTGGAGGAATCTCAAGGCCTAATTGCACCTTATTATGCCCAAAAATAGAGAAAATGCAAATTCAAAGGTCAAATTAAATGAGTATTGGATGAATTTGCATAAAAATTAAGTCCAATGATATAATTAAATTTTTAATGGGTCAATTTGATTTAGGTCCAATTGAAGGATTTAATTAAGTGTAAGGACTTAATTATACTTTAAGTGGGTCAAATTAATTTGAGGGCTTAATTGGTGAAAAATTAAGTATGAGAGTCTAATTTGGACTTAATTAAAAAGATTGAAATTTTAAGAGATCAAATTTAATTTTTACCAAGTTAATTGATTGATTGATTAGGGACCAAATTTACACAAAAATTGAGGGATCAATTTTGAGGCTCGAAAAGTTTTTTGCGTATAAATAGCAGCGTTGAACCCAAAACAAAAGGGGCAATTTTGATAATAATAAAAAAAAAAAAAGAGGGAAGAGGAGCCCTAAACTATCACTTTCAAGGCCAACAGTCGCCCCCCACCCGACTGAATTTTTTCTTCCCCAAACAGCAGCCCCCAGGGATCTCTCTGCCTTTCCCTTTGATTTTCTTCTTCCCTACAACAGTCGATGGTCTCCCCATTTTCCTGCACGTAAGCCACCTACCCATGAACCCGCACCATCTCTCTCTCCCAGCAGCTCTTGGTTTTCTTCCTCTCGTCCCACTGACCTAGCCACACCAACACCCACCAGTTCACAGACCTTCCTCCCTGAAACAAAACACAAAAACAGATCTTCCCCCTCACTGATCCATCTGCTTTCCCACACACAAAACAGGAATCGACAGGTCTTGGTGGCAGCCGAATAGCCTCCAGTGGCAACAACAACATAGCAGCTCCTCCCCATAGACCAGCTCTCCTTCCACGACCACCACCAACCGAACAAGAAAGAAGGGTCGGCGATCGACTAGATCCAGCAGGTAACCGACCGATCGAGTCACCCAGGCGAGCCGCTCCACACCCAACGGCCTTCAGCGGCGGCCCGAACACAGTGAAACTAATCTGCATCGGTGTGTCGTCCTTCCTCCTTCTGCCAGCTACCCGAAGCGGAGGGGAAGACGAAGAAAAACCATAGAAAAGCTTATCTACAATGAAACAGATTTAAAAGAGAAGAGAAAGCAGATCCGAAAATCATGAAAGAAGATTAAAACACTTTGCCTATTACGTTTTTTGGTACTTTTGCAGGTCACCGCCGGTGAGAGGGGAAGAAGAGAGGAAGCCGTTACTGACCCTCCTACTTGCCTAGGTTTCCAGTGGCGCGTGAACCCACTACCCTCGAAGGACCTCCCAGCACTGTTATGGAATTTTTAGGTTATTCTATAATTTGTAAAGTGTTTAATGTAATATTTGTTTAGTTTAAATTTTTATTTGTATTTTGAAAACAAAAAAAAAATAAAAAAGAAAAAATATAGTGAAAGTGTATGTGTGTTTGTATTTGTTTTATGAACTTTTTTTTTCATGATGAGACTGTAAAGAATAAAGAAGGATTTAAGATTTTGATTGGATCATGGTATAGAAGTACAGACTTGTATGGAAGTTATATTTCTAAAGTCCGATGAAAAGATAAAATTTTTAAAACTTCTTTAACATATCAAGTCCACGAAGCAGCTTACTTTAAGTAGGGTGCGTTAGGGATGTTAATATCTTTCCTAATCACAATCGGTTTTTTACCCGTGAATTTCTGACAAGACCAGTATAATTGGGTTTCTTAGTAACCCTCAATTAAATACTAGGTGGCCACTCCCAACCAATTCAACAAGATTAAATCAAACAATAATAGAGAGAAAAAGCACCAGTCGACGCCGCGTGGAGTTTTCAAAGTGCAACAACATAAATAAAAGGATAGATTGATGAATTTCAAAACTAAAATTGAAAGGACAAATCGATGAATAAACTTAGAAAAAAAATATCGATGTAGTCCAAACTAAAATTGAAAGGACAAAGCGATGAATAAACTTAGAAAAAAAATAATTGGGTTTCTTAGTAACCCTCAATTAAATACTAGGTGGTCACTCCCAACCAATTCAACAAGATTAAATCAAACAATAATAGAGAGAAAAAGCACCAGTCGACGCCGCGTGGAGTTTTCAAAGTGCAACAACATAAATAAAAGGATAGATTGATGAATTTCAAAACTAAAATTGAAAGGACAAATCGATGAATAAACTTAGAAAAAAAATATCGATGTAGAACTAAAATTGAAAGGACAAAGCGATGAATAAACTTAGAAAAAAAATGTTGATGTAGTCCAAACCGGAATACTGTTTGGTAATTGGGTCATATCTGGAGCTGTAAATCTCGGATTTAGGTCTATTTTATAAAGACGAAAAGGTGAGACAAATGCCTACAACTTTCATATGGAGCTCAATATTTAAAAAAGCCATTTTCAAGTCCAAATTAGAGCAATATTAAAGAATTCTGAATCTGTCCTCCAACACAAGTACTGTTCAGTGTTTGGCTCATATCTTGAGTTCTAGAAGTCCAAATGACCTCAATTATTTACACAATAAATCTGAGACAATTTCCTACAACTTTCATTTTTAAGTGGTTCCAATTTTGACGTTATCAATGATGTTTTGGGTAAACAAGAGAAGATAAGAATTGTCACCGAGTCAAGAGTTGATCACTCACTCATCAATTAGTCATCAAATCAATAGTTCTCAATTTTGGCCTATAAAAGGAGGTATTTACCATGCATTTAGGCATCTTGATTTCTAGATCAAGATTATTGTCTTGTTTTCTCTATTTGTATTTTTTGTAATATTTATGCTTTGCTTTCATTAATATCAAGTTTATGTCTTTCAATTCCTTTCCTTTACTTAGTTAACTTTTATTTTATTATTTTGTTTATCTATTTT